AAAAAAAAAAAAAAAAAAAGAGGAAAAAAAGAAAAACAGTTCAATAATAGCGACACAGATTGATGGAAGGCACGATCGAGGAATCACGTGGTCAAAAGCGCTGGAACGGTTGGTTAGGAAGGCGGCGGAAACTGGCGTAACCATTGATTTACGAATGACAATAAATCCAGCCGTGTTATCCGTGCCAAAAGCACCTCCATCCAGCCCCGTGAATGATTCCTCGAAAAACCGATTCGCGAGAAGATTAGGGGAACGGTCGTTAAACGGCCGCCTCGTATAGGAGGAGCGTCGCACGACGACTCTAAAACGAAATTTGACGGATGGAGAGATACGGGAAGAAGGGGAAGGAGGGATGGATCGAGGGAAATAGACGACTTTAGTGGAGGAAAAGGTGAGGCGGCGACAGCGAATCGCGAGTGGGTGTTGGTCTTCGTTTATCTGTGCTTGTAATGACGTCACCGCCTGTATAAAGGGGACTCTAAATGCGAACAGATGGCCTTTATAGTTGACCATAGACAGTGGAGGAGCTCGCGGAATCGCGGAAAATAGACGCCATCGCTGGGTGGCGCTATGGCACGAGGACGAGCGATCAAACATTCGAGAACGTTGGATTGCATTATGATAAAAGTTGAATAATCGATCGAGATTATTTATGATATAAGTGGTACTCATCTTTATCATTCTTATTATACATTTATATTGATTCTAATATTCTTCGTTTGGTAAAAATCATGGATCTCAGAATGCCTTGTTCTTTTATGAATTTTTAGTTTGAAAACTATTATTGCTAGTGGAAATAGATCGTGTCACGAACTTTATTATCAAAAATGTATACTATTATTGATAACCAGATTTGTAATTTTGCAAAATGGCTGGACTCTTTATGCTTAAAAATTTATTTTTATAGAATCTACCAACGAAGTGTAAATTTCAAATTTGAGTTAAATCGGATTTTCGAATAATTATTCAACTTTTTATAATCGTTGAATGGTTATGATTTAAATGGAATTACGTAAGTGTTTTAAAACATTCATTTTTGAAACAGCTACGACGTGGTGAAAACGTGGTAACATCATTCACGAATAACAGGAGAGATTTATGAGTGACAAAGTTCAGGCATACTTGCAAGGAATATATTTTGAAGTCGTTTTGCTACACAACGCTTGTAAACAACATTGGTCGACAAATTTCGCATAAATTAATTGTTATAAGAGTGTGTTCGACTGTACATCAAAGAACATATAATAAACTGTAATACAAAGAAATCATTGAAGAAACGAAAATTTTTTTTTAATCATACACAGACTGATTATTTCGATTGAAGATATCTAGAGAGAAAAAGAACAACAAAAAATTGTTGGCTAAGGCTTATTTATTAAATTACAAGCAACAGAGTGAAATTCTATCTCCGTCACCATCAACACACTTCGCCCAAGACAAATTTAAATAAATACATAAATATACCTCAACCGAGGTATATTTACAGTCAGTTTTTGTGTTTATTTTAATCTCCAAAATCGAAAAGCGTCGCGCAAATATATTAATCTAAACATACCAACTTTCGCTCAATTTAAATCACAAACTCCGCCATACACGTACTTCGTAATTCCAATTTAAACCATTCTAACAAAATAAAACGATATAACAATTTCACATGATAACGTTTTCGTAAAAATATATACTTCTTCATCCGAAGAAAAGAAAAGAAAACAAAAAAACCCATTAAACTCGATCGTTATTAACTACTTACAATCCGTATCAATATTAACTTATACTAATATAACTTCCAAGATTTTACGAGAGGAGGAACAAAAAAAAAAAAGATCAGAAGAAACGCGAAAGGCACGCATCATTGCTAAAGTTCTTCTTATTTATACACTGTGGTCGCAAATTTCGCGAGAAGAGCGCGTCGTCGACGCGAAAAGGCGCGGTTAAGAGCGATCGTTAAAAAAGGGAGGGGAGAAGAGCGTGTATTCCTCCTTTTCTTTTCTTTTCCTTTCTTTTCTTTTTTTTCCTCCCAACATTATTTCTTCACGAGCGGCAGCAGGCAGCCGCAGTTCAAATGAAAAGGGTTGCCCCCCTCGCGAGAAACCGATGGGAGGCGTATACCGGACGAGTTTTATCGCGCGGGCGAATAAACGACTCCGCTCGGGAGCGGAAAAGGGGGGCAACTGTGAGAAAGTAACGAAAGTAAGGTTTTATCGAAGCCATGGGTGGCTGGTGTTGCGCATGCAAGAACGTACCTTACAAGTTAATAAATTTCGAGGTTTTCCTCGTGACCGTGCCGTGGCTGTGTGCGCTGTTCCCCGCTGCCGGCAGCATCCGAAACAATCCGCTCGCCTTGCGAGTTTCACAACCACCTCGAGGTTTCTCCTGAAACACACGGCGTCGATTTCGCGTTACGTCGAAAATATTTCTTCCCGCTTGGAAACGAGGGAGCGTGGAGTTTGAATCTGCTCGATGATGGTGATTTGAATATGATGGAGACGTTGCGGAGAGAAAAATTTGGCGGGTACGATTTTTCTTTCTTTTTCTAAATAAAATAAAAGGTTTGATATATTTTCAATTCGAAGAGAAATTCGATCGTTATATCCTACGATTTTTTTTATTAATAATTTTATATGTGATACGAAAAAAAAAGGAATAGGTAAACGTATGGTGAATAAATATGACGATTTTTATATTGTACAGAAATATTTTTGTCAAAAGTGTCAAAGAATTTTATGTGTGTTTAATGTCGAAATAAAGATAAAATTGAAAAATTAATCTCCTCGATCGAAAGGGTGAAAATCGTTTCAAGGTGAATAGTGTCACATTCGACTCGTTATTTCTGAAAAAAAAAAAAGAAAAAGAAGAAAAGAAAAAAAAAAAAGAAAAAGAGAAATCGTCGAATTAATAGCATATACCTTAAACGATACTCATGAATAACTCGAATGTGTCACTGGCGAGTGATTCATCGGCTTTCGTGTCAAAAGATGAACTAAAAGTAAGAATAGAAAAAGTGAGAAGAGGAAAAAAAGAAAAAAATCGAAAAGAAATTGTACGAAATACGCTGTTCGACCGCACGAACAGTTTACAAATTGATAACGTGTTAATTTAGGGGAAGGGGGGAGACAATGATTATCACGTGATACGAGAAACAGAACTCGATCGGATCGAATCACGTTCTCAATCCTGGCAAGGACAAAAGTTGCAGGTAAGGTAAGCAGCTCGAGAAGCATTGCCTACCTAGTGGCAACTACCTAGAACGACCTAGAACGGCCTTCGACGGCTACAACTACGCAATGACCGACCAACCGCGACGTAGAAGGCGTATATACTGCTTAAAACGATGCCAATCCCTCCTCTATACTATTTTTTATCGGCGGATACTGTGAGAAAAACACCTGGCTGGAAGAAAGATTTACGGGCTTTTTTCGAAGTTGGAAAAGAATCGAGGAATCTTCCAATCGATTCGTTCTTTTTTTTTTTTTTTTTGCTGCGGATATCGATAAAAAAAAAGAAAACGAGCGATTTATTATAGCGATAGATTTTGGAATATTTTATTTCATGCAATATGAATGCTGAATCGCTGATGAAAGAGGAATTACTAAAAAAATTGTCCAGAAGCGTTCTATGAATTTTATATTCATTTACGCGTAGAATCCTATTTTTATAAAAAAAAAAAATTAAACGAGATAAGAAACGCGTGTTTACGAATCCAAGATGAATCGAGACCTCTTTCACGACGTTGTGGTTCAAGTTGCGCAAACTCGAGCGATACCCATTCTTGGATCATCATTGTAAAAAGAGACACGTATCGCCCGTGAAGAGCGAAACAACATCGTTACAACGGCACCACGGTGGAAGGAGCGATGTAAATATGTAATAAATTTCACTGAAAAGCTGTACGGGGCCGAAAGTGCGGATCTGTTCGGGGCATAAATCGTGGCGGCGTGGTACAATGCGAACAGCGCCTCGATTAATGTTTAACAAGGGTGTCGGAGTGGATTTCGCGGTCGTATCGGAAGCGGTGTATATAAGCGCTCCTCCTTTCCTCCCTGTTCTCCCGGATGCAAAGCAGCGCCACGAGGAGGAGGAGAGCCTTAACCTAATTAAGGAAGACAAGAGAGGCGTAAATCACGCGGCGAGGAGAAAGTGATGACGAGAGATAAAGCCGCGAGGAGAGCCACTCTGTCCTCTCTCTCTCTCCCTTCGTGAATTTATCTTTCCTCTCCTGTCCTCTCTCTCTTTTTCTCTCTCTCTTTCTTTTTCGCGCGTGTCCTCCGCGGTATGCGAAACGAGAAGAAGCGTAAACGAAAGAGAAGGCGAGATCCAGTTTTCGAGTCTCGCGGAAGAGAATCCCAATTAAATTGAAACTAAAGTTGGATATCTTCTTTTTCCTCTCTCTCTCTCTCTCTCTCTCTTTCTCTCTCTTATTTTCTTTTATTCTTTAGGAGGTTGAAATTTGAATTATTGGTTAGCAAGATAATCAGGAACTTTTTAGATTAGAAATTTTTTGATTTTTGATCTACTTCTTTTTCTTTCTTTCTTTTTTTTTTTTTTTTGCATATCGTGTGTATTTTTTCTCGATATACACGTGTTCCTTTACCTTAGACCAGTTTTTAACATCGAATCTAAGCTAGAAGCTTGATTAATACACATATTAGGCGCAAGTGGGTCGCAGTAGATCTCGTTAAGCCTACGTATCCTCGCCTCTGTTCGCTGCATAAATCTGCACGTAGAAATGCACGTGCACTTTAGGGCGGGTATACGCACCTGGGCGTGCACGCGGCTGTCGACGCAAATAGGCGTGCGTGATCCAGAATGGACAGTGAATTTGCAACTTCTCGTGGTTATCGTGCTCGTTTAGAGAACACCGCCCGAAGCCGTGTAATTTTTAGTTCGTTGTGTTATCGCGCGCGGATAAAATTAAATTTTTGACGCGTTTATCGGCGATGAAACTTGTAAATTTAACTCACGATCGTTGATAAATTTATTTCTTATATAAACAAACTTAAGATAAAAAAGGGTAATAGTCTATTCTAGATACTTTTGATGAAACATTTTTTAGAATAATATTTTCTATGTAATTATATACATTATTTTAAAATCATTTTATTGAAACCTGTAAATATATACCATCGACTTTCCCAACTCTTTCATTTCCCAATCCTTCATCCAATCGAAATACGAGTCGAAATAGAATCGCTATCTTTTTTCCAAAAAATAAAAAAATACGATAAAAATTTTATACATCATTCTCCATACAATTCCATTCACCATTACCAAAAACAAAGGCCCAGTTATACGTTCCATCCTGAAATATCGATAAAATAATCCGATTCATCTAAAGTTTCACTTTCACACCCCTTCGTGGAGATATAAATTAAAAGAATTGCGCGCTCATCTTTCCGAGACCGAGGGTTACAAATGTTCCTCGAGCATTCAATTCTAAAACGTAAAACGTGAAGCGTGTTTCACGGGTGTGATGTGCAGTACGTGAACGTAAGCGCCGCGACAGCAGAAATGTTTTTCTTGGGCGCGTGGACGACGTTTGCGTCCGTGGAAGTCGGCCAATGAAGAAGAGAGAGCGAGAGGAAACGCAAGAAAGTATAAGTCGGTCGGATATCGAGGAAGGGAAAGCAGGGGAGGGAGGGTGGAACGAAAGCGGACGAAAATAAAAGGTGGGCAAAGAGGAAACGGTGAATCAAAGAGACAGCCGTTTCGGGGGATGTTTTTCTAACGACTTCATCGTCATCCCTTTCCAAGCTGTCACGCCGAAACGAGGCAACGTTCTTATCTAATAAATTATCAGAATCAGAAGTGTCGCCGGTGGAGAGATCGGATTCCTCCACGATCCCGACGCCTGTCCGCTTAACAGTTTTTCCTTGTTTTTGCTCGAGACGGCACGGCTCGCGTGCAAATGTCTCCTGTCGTTGATTTTTTAGAAGAGTATCGTGGAATATGGGTGGCGACGTGGAGACGAGATGATATTTACAGGACTGAAAAGTCAATCGAATGCGTGTTTTTCTTTTTTAAGATAATTTTAAGATAACCCTCCATTCGTCGTGTTAATAAAAACCGTAATTTGGTGAAAAATATATTATTATATTACTTCAAATTTTGCAAAAATTATGCATAATATTTTGAACAAAAAAAGAAAAGTCATGGAAAAATTTGAAATCGACCAAATTGATATAATAAAACTTCCAATTTAGTATTGTGATTCACTCGACAAACATCCGATATAAAACTCAATACTAACAAAATATTTTTCTCGTCGTTCAACTTTCCATAGACAAACACCTTCCACCCTTTTAAATCTTCCAAACTTTTCATAAAAGTCACCACCGAAACACGACGCTTGATAAATTAATGCTTTTTAATTTAACGATCCACGGAATCAGATGGAAATTCGAGATTCGAGATCGCGGCTAATTGATTCGAGGACAAACGAGCATCACGATCCCGTAAATCAATCAGAACGGAAGCTTTAACGGCGCGGTTCTCTCTCTCTCTCTCTCTCTTTCTTGAGGATGCTGCGCCGATAACACAACAACAAGGTTAGATCAACGATTATGTTAGAAGGAAGGAAGGTGTTAACGTTTATTTGTAACGAGTGGGCGGAAAATAAAGAGAAACGTGGTGTCGTTCAGAGAAGAGCCGCGTGTCATTATTTATACGAGCCACGGAACGTTGATTTCTAACGTGATGGCTGGAAAGGAAAAAATAATATTTCCGGCGAATATTATGAAGAATGTTTTATTTTTTAAATAAATATATCTATATAGGATATGAGTGCAGCAATATAAAATTCTCAAGAAGAAACGAGTCGCGACTGTCCTTTTTCCTTTTAAACGTAATAACACAAAGATATTAAAAGAATAGATTTTATAACACTACAATGAGATGTATTTAAAAATAAGAAGATTAATAGATGCAAATGATTGATAGTGTTGCATAAATAAACAAATGGTTAAAAGTGATCACCCCTCTAAAAAGAAACTTCTTTTCACTCTTACCTAGAAACTATCACTTTCTCGAAAGACGAGCAACAATACTCTTATCCCAAAATCATATGCAATTGTATTAAAATCCTAAAAGAAATAAAAAAATTACTTCTTCGCCAAAAACGATCGAAAAACCATCAGCTCTAAATAAACCTCCTCCTAAAACCAGAAAGAAACCTAAACCATCTTCTCGAAGCAACAGCGAGCGCGCGCTTAATCCAAACGAAGGGGAAAGAGGGTGAAAGAGGAGGAGAGAAAGAAACATCGGCGATAAATAAAAATCTTCGTATTAATAGCATCGGGGGGGATCGTT